TCGAGCAAGTGTCATAATAGGCTCCGGCCTTACGGCCGCCGATGACTACCTCGTCGACGAACATCTCACTCCTAGGGGGTTTTGCCAATGTCGTCCAAGAAGCTAGCGGGTCTGATTTGGACCACTCCTCCTCTAGCCCCTCTAAGGACTCAAACACATTCATTGAACAAAGGCTCGATGGGTCTGAATGTGTTTGCGGGACAACGATGGAGTCAGTAGCTTGGGCCATCTCTCGAGATGGTGAGGGTGTGTCCACCACCTCGACACTACCAGTAACAGCTACTATTCCTACTGGCCCGACGCGTTTCCCGAAGCAGTGCCAGAACTGCTAACCACATTGCTACCATCAGGAGCGGAGGATCCCAACGCCTGCCCCATCGTAGGCGGGGTCTTCTCGGTCACCTTCTTATTGCGACACTTGAATTGGTTGTGGGAGAGAAGGTTAACAACCGTCGTATTTTTCATCACCACTTCAGGACACCCTTCACCACTTACAGAATGCAGCCTTCCTAAACAGGTGGTTTTCAAGGTTTTCAGACCTTTCACCACTTCAGGACCATTCAGGTCTGAAAATCCTGAATGGTCCTAAAGTGGTGAAAGCTCCGAAGACCCTGAAAACCACCTGTTTAGGCAGGCTGCATCCTCAAGTGGTGAAGGGTGGTTTTCATGGTCTTTGGACCTTTCACCACTTCAGGACCATTAAGGATTTTCATACTGCCCAAAACTTTCACTTGACCACTTCAGGACACCCTTCACCACTTCAGGATGCAGCCTGCCTAAACAGGTGGTTTTCAGGGTCTTCGGACCTTTCACCACTTCAGAACCATTCAGGATTTTCAGACTGCCAAAAACTCTCACTTCAAAATTTTCATTCCTGAATTTCCAGCTACCCAATAACCGCTTATGGGTTTTGGCCATATTGACCACAATGAATACAAGCCTGCCTGGTGTACCTATCTCTCCACACGTCCTCTGTTACACCCGCTTTCTCCCATGGAGGAGCGTTGGGGTCACCTGGACTCCTAGACCGGGAGCCTCCACAACGTCTACCGGTCGCCTTAACTTTTTGAACTGAGGCAGCGACTACTCCACCCCCTGAAGCCTCTACGCTGCCTGCCTCTGAACCCACTCCCGCCTGGAAGTCGTCATCCAACTCGATGGTAGAACCATCGTTGTCGATGAACATAATACGGCCCTTCGCCTTCCCAGTTGGGAGGCAGCGACTTTTTCCTACCATCCGTCGTTGGTGTCTGACCATGCCCTATCTTTGCTTCCAGGTCTAGGGCCTTCTTGCTAAACGAGGGAAAGTTGTGCATGTTGATGTTGGCCTCACCTGCCAACTGATCCCTGAGAGGCATAGGAAAGCATCTCAGGTAGGAGGTGAGTAGAACTTGTGGGTCATAGCGCACCCCAGGGACACAGATCAGACGCTCTACTGCGTTTGTGGCCTCTCTTACTGACTTAAACTGCCTGTTGTGCAAAGTCAGGATCGCATCAGTGGCCTTTTGAGGCTCCTGACGATCATGCCACCTGTCTTCCACCAACTTGAGGAAGTCATCCAGTTTCTGGTTGACCGCCCAAGAGCGAAAGTCATGACCGTATCCCTGTAACTGCACTAAACCACTTAACCATCTTGCTGCACTCCCCTCTAAATAGGAGGCAGCCACAAGCACTTCCTCGTGCGGCAAGGTAAGTTTGCACTTGACATAGACTGGCACTGACCTCGACCATGTGTCGAGGTCTTCGCCCCTCTTATCCCCTGAAAAAGGTTCGGGAGAGGCGATGGCCGTCTTTGGAACCCACTGAGTTTGTCCCAGCACCTGTCCCACTCCAGGCTGTGGACCTTGGGGACCAGGCTGCTACACTATCTGCTGCTGGGGCTGCGTACCCTGCGGCTGTGCAGGCTGCGAGACAGCAGGCTGCCCTGTTATGGCAACCTGTGGCAGAGTTTGGGAGTACACTGTCTGTACACGAACCTATACGCTAGGACCGGCTGAGAACCCTCCTGTCAACGGCATGCCTAGGGAAGCGTCTTGGACCGATGCTGGAGTGACATATGGGGATACCCCAGTCACCGGTGGGACAAAAGGAGGAGGTTGTACAACGGGCCAGGCACCAGGCCCGGACGGCGATGGAGCTGCCTGAGCTCGCCCGGCCAACAAGTCCAGACTCTGTTGGATGTCTTGCAACAGACTCGTCTAGTGGTCCTGCATTTCTACTACATCTAACAGGACGGACCGTAGGGTCCTCACATGGGCATCCATGTGCGTCAGATCCATGCCCTCTAACTCACTGACGTCCGCATGTCTCCGCTGCATCCTGGCTCTTCTTCTAATCATCTTCTCTTTCTCTGCCTTAATCTCTCCTAACGCCTGCTGTAGTTGTGCCTCGCGAATAGCTGCTCACCGTATGGCGACCTCCTCGGGGGTCAAGACTATCGGCTGGCTCACCATAACGCCAGTGGATTGACTCATGGTTTGTGCGACCGTTGACCCTACAAAACCTGAACTGCTAGCTTGAGAGCTCTGCTGCGCAATAGATGCCATGGCTGCTGAGGTAGCGGCCTCGCTCGCGAATGCCCTGCTTGCCTCTGCGGCCCTAGCCCTCCGCTGCTGCTGCTGTCTCTCCCTCTGCTGGACGAATAGGTGTCTGTCGCCCTCTGGTCCTAATGCCAAGTGGGCTATCGGGCGTCTCGCTGATCGCAGGATCCGGTCGTCCTCTCTAGTTTCCTCCCTGCCGCTCATAGGCCACAACACTGTACATTGTCTGCACTAGGACAGTCTCGATGCCTACCGCAGCATGATGTATAGATCGATTTAAAAAAAAAATAAAAAAAATAAAAAAATTGGTGGCTCTGTTAGAGATTACACATTCGGGTCCAACAGGTAAGTTCAGATTCCTACAAACGAAACTACTTTGACTTTGAATAGTTCGCAAACAAAAACCACAATGAACAAAGAACAGTTCTAAACTATGTTGTCTGTCAGATATTAATGGTTGTACATCTAACTAATCAAAATGAAAGTAAAATCGTTTGTTGGGTCTGTTTGCAGAATGGAATCTTGCCCAAACTTATCACCTGGAATCTACCCCTCCCTCAATTCTTGCTGAATGTCTCTTGTCGTCAACGTCCCTGAGCAATCCAGAACAACGTGTGTCTAAAGGTGTGCGCACGGCCCACCCCTGTGCCCCGAGTCCTGCTGAGCTGGCCAGCCCTGCACAGTCTTTATCCTCGAGTGCAGCGAGCCTTACACCGACCGATTGACTGATCAGGAGGCGTTTTTATGGACGGCCCCCGAAGTCCTTAGGAATTATTTAACGTTGCAAACAGGACGACGATCACAACCAATGGAAGGTCCCCGCCGATACTTATTTATAGATGTCCGGTACTCGTCTTTCCCATAGGGCTGGCCTGCCCCTCAGAACCCCTCTATAGCACAACGAGCAGACAAAGGACAAAGCAGCAAAGCATGCGTGCTCTACTCCCGGTGGGCTGGCATGGTGACCGTGACCCAGTGCTTCGTCTAGGGCCCTTCAGATAGCACCGCCCTCTCCTTCCAGATGCTCCACGTGAGGACGGACGACTCTCAAGGTTGAGCGCACACGACTCCTCACATGAGAGGACTCTCAAGACAGAACACACATCCTCACGGTAAGAAGTGTCGAAGAGGGTAGATAAGGTTAGGTGCACCCTACCTCAAAATAGCTGCCCCCAACCACAAATATTCTCACCAGATGACCCGATGTTGATTGTGATGACCAATCGCTGCTTCGGCACAACCAGCATTGCACCACCGTTCCACCTCAGCATCAATCATACATCGGATRGTTCTCATCACAYYKCGAACACCCAATATTCACCACTTAGTAGCCTTCCTGGCGATACCCCTCACCTCCTGGGTCGCCTAACTTGTCTCCACCCTCCTCACTACACACCTCCCACGGCCACTCGCCCAGCAGACCGTGTGCATGTACCACAAAGGCAAAAGACAAGCGCCAGATGAGCGCACCGTACCACAACTTTGATACCAAATTGCAAAGAGAATGAGCGATAGCGAACTTCAGAAATCAAACAGCATCATACACATGAGACCAGATAGTTGTGACCTCGAAATTATAGCAGAATTGCATCACGAGGTCCACCAAATAAGAACACATCAAGAGCTCATAATTGACAATGCTGGAATAGTCGCAACATCATCAATGAAGAACCAATGTCGATATCCTATCTGGCGCTTGGCGCCCAGACTACAGATGGCAGATCCTATCTAGCCTAATCTACAATGCCGCCGATGACGTCAACAGATCCCCAAAGCAGTAGTGGTTAATGGAAGGCCAAAAATTCGCCGAATTTTGGGCCTTCCATTAACCGCCTCTTCGTTCCCTAACTCACAGATGCCACATGCACCCAAGGACCACCATGCGCCCCATCCAGCATACAGCAGCGCAGCTCGGCTATGGCTGCCTGCTCCTTCCTGCTCACCCGTGAGCACGTGAGCGCTGGCCAGCGTTAACGCAGCAGCGCTTGCGCAGCATGCAGCTAGTGCCAAAATGCCGAATGCGTGGGCAGGCACTTTCCTAAATGGAAGTGGCCTGCCTGCTTGCGTGCAGCTTGGCTGTGCTGGGCCCCTGGCCAGAAGCTTCCGGTAGGCCCAGAGAGGCTGAGCCCCAGTCCAAACAAATCAGGCCCGTATCCAACTGCCCGCGGCCTGTGTTCGGTCCATGTTACGAATCTGGCCCAGGGCCTGCCTCAGTTACATTCGAAAGAGGCAGCCTGGGCCTGGGCGCTCTCAACCAACTGGCGCTGCGCAACTGCCTGAATTTCCCCAGTTGCGTGGTGACCCTAAAAATGACCTGTAGGCCTCGGTCGAGCCCGCCTTGACTTAGGGCGGCCGACTGTGCTGAAAATAGGGCCCAGTAGGGCGTATCGAGGCCTTGTGCCTCGCAGTGTTATGCATGTGTGTGCATGCACGTGGGAGTGACAACGATTTTCTTTTTACCTTGACTTTTCCCTTGATCCGCCACAGTCCCCTCCTTTCAGTGACAATCTCTGGATCTTCTGGATGTTTCTGGATAACCCTCTGTCTGACCTCCTCGAGGCTTAGATCATGATTTTCATTTAATGGGATTGCCTCTATTTCATTTGACATCTGCAAGGAAAAAGTGCACCACCAGCCCAAATACAAAACAGCACGAATATGCGTCATGGTATTAAAAATTTATCAGCACAATGTATTCATACTATTACCAACTGTGAGCATAAAAGTGAAACATAAAAGATGCTCATTGATGCAGCGTTACTTAGATCATACACGAAGGACAAAACACCCGACCAGAGAGAGCATTCAGTAAAATATTTGAGGTGTTATGATCCTGGCCAATTTCGAAGTGCACATTCATCAGATGGTACAATGCCGTCCAATTGCAAAATGAAATGAATGAACTTGAGAGGAGAGAGAGGGAAAGAAGAAGAAGAAGAAAGAAAGAAAGAAGAAGGAGATGACGTACACCAGCATAGACCAATGATAACGCTCTTCTTCTTCGCCAACCACTCTCCTCCTCCTTATCTTCTCCCCTCTTATTCAAACGAGAATAATAATAACAATGTTGAATGGCTGATCCAGAATCAATGTCCGATTCCCTCTTCTACTGCAGGTATCACTTGAGGTCCACCATAGCCATGGCCGCCCCTCTCCCGCTTCTATCTGATAGGCCAAGGCTATGGCGGACTACCAGGGCATCGCCCTGCTGTCCAAAGGACAACACAAAGCAGCCATGGCTGCTCTAGCTCAGGCCGCCATGCCTGACTCTGCCTCGAAGCTTCTTGGTGTGGCTCTACCCCAACGGGGCCTTCCTGCTGCAGCGCCCACCAAGGTGATGAAGATGGCAACCACCATAGCCAGGTAAGTACCTATGGCGCTCCCCTTCCTAGTCCTGGTCTTCTTCATCCTTATGTCCTTGCTCCTTCCCCAGCAGCGCAGCTGTTGCTAGCACTGCTCCAGCCAGCGCTCCAACCAGTATGTCGCCAAACTTGCACACCAACAATGAGAAGGAGCAACTGGCTCCTCCTGGAGCGGCCTGCTTGCCTCTTGGCGAGTGACTTTCTAGGCCGCGTGGCCTCCAAGCAACCAGTACCTCCTCCCTTTCGGAAGGTAACATCATTGCAGACTCTGATATTGCCTGTACAGGCCCTAGACACAGACTGGTTGGACTGGTACCCGCCTAGACCTAACTACTGGGCCTCTAAAAATGCCAACTCCTGTCTTCTTCTGCTTGGCCTCAATTACCCGGCATATCTACCTCTACCTGATGTGGTACCGGCCTACCTGCCAGTTGAGTGTTTTCCGCTGCTTCAAGTGTTGCGGGCCTCTTTCCCCGCCACTTGAGTGTTTCCCCACTGCAATCCTCAATGGCATGGCCACATGTAAGTACAGGCCCTTCGGGCCCACTGAACAAAAAGTGCCATTGTGGGTCACACACGCACTCAAGCTGACAAGCACTCAGACAGGCATGCAGACCAGCAAGCGTGCACACACACAGACTTAGAGAAGTCAGTAACAAGTGGGAAACTCAGCAAGGCATTCATTCCGTGAGCAAAACTCAAAAATCAGCTGTGTGTCTCAGTCGGTGTTTGGTCAGGTCATTACATTACCGCCCTCTTAAGAGTGAGGTCCCTTGGAGCGAGCAACTCATTCTGAGTCCCCGACAAATGCATCGTAAGCAAACAAAGCAAAGAGATTTCGTGAGTACTCAGTGGCAGTGAGTTTTGGAGAGATTTTAGGTACACCATTAGAGGCTATTTGTCACTCGTAGGCTTTGACAACGCAAGGTGCACCGCGCAGCAGTTCCTTCTTGGAGATCCAACAGAGATCGTCCAACGGGTGATGCATAAAATGAATCTGGTACTGCCTATTACGTCCCGTCCCCGCGTGCTGTTTGATTCTATCGATCTCATGACCGCCCTTGATTGCACGAGGAATCATGTCTTCACAATAATTGAAGGACTTTGCATCATGATGTATGTAGAGTTTTGATGCATGAAAGACTGGGTATGTGCGCAAATAAGGAGGCACATCAATTGTGTGTGACGGGCCGAACTCGTCCTTGCCAAACACGTCTAGAACTTCCCACGGATCATAATAGGGCGGGAGAAGTTTGTGTGACACTCTCTCTTCTTCTGAAAATTTAGACATATTGACTCAGACATAACTTCCCACTTTAAAATCCGAAGGTTGGCGTTTCTTGTTCGCACTATGGATAATTGCATGTTGTCGCTTGATCATTGTTGCGATCGCAACTTTGAGCAAGCGATTGTACTTGGCACTGAAGCCAGGCCTGCCGGGTGTTAAACCAGCTGGCTGTTCAAGAAATAGGTAGGAGAGCGGGTTACGAATCTGCGAAACGTAATGCAGCCTGTTTGGCGTCATGCCGGTAGAAGAATGAATGGAATTGTTGTACAACCCCTTGACTGAATACAACTCTTTATCCCACGTTTCCTGATCCAGAATGATTAAAGCACAAAGAAGTTGGAACACAGTCTGGTTTATCTCCTCAGCCAAACCATTGGTTTCGGGATGTCGGCCAGATGTCATGCTCAGTTTGAGGCCAGGGAGTTGGGGCGTGAAGTGCTTCCATTCACTACTTATGAAGCGTGGGTCCCGATCACTCACAAGGGTTTTTGGGGTTCCGAAATGTTGAATGTTCTTTTGGTGGAGTTCACGGATCACAACGTCAATTGGGGCATGGGGTAGCAATGGCATCAGATTAAGGAATTTAGAGAAACGATCAACAATTACAATCACTTGCGAATAACAATTCTTACTTATCCTTCTCATGTTTGTGAAGTCGATGGAGACGAACTCTCTGGGACCGTCGGAAATGGGAAAAGGTTTAAGCAGCCCCATGGACTTTTGTCTTGATGGTTTGATTCGCTGACGAACTTGACCCTCAACCACAAACTTTTCAGCAGATCCTTTCACACTAGGCCAATTGAACTGTCTCAATAGGTTTCCGTATGTCTTTGCCATGCCGAAGTGTCCACTTCGGTCGTGAGCCAAGTTCAAGAAGTGTGTGCAAAGAGGCTCATGGTTGGGTACACACAAACGGTCATTATTTCCATAGCGTTGGAAAACCAGTCCTCCACATTCGTGAAAATCAGGCTTACTGCTGGGGTCAGTCCGCAACTGCTCAAGGATTGGACCAAGGCCTGGGTCCTTGGCAGTTTGCTCTACAAGCTCCTCCTTCAGTTTCTTCCGGAAGTCATAAGAGTTCACAAGGCAAGTCATATACTCAGGGTGACGAGACAATGCATCAGCTACGCGATTATAACAACCTTTTTTGTTTTTCAGTTCAAAGTGAAAAATATTAACCTCATGGAACTAGCGAATTAATGTAGGGGACACGGTGGTTTGTTCTTTGATCCACTTCAAAGTCTCATGATCCGAGAAGACTTTGAAGTGGCTTCCCAAAAGATAATGCTTCCAATGATCGAAGGTCATGCGGAAGGCAAGAGCTCGCGCATGTAGGTGGAAGTAGCTACCTTTTCGCTAGGCATGCGTTTGCTGTAGTACTCAAGCGGCCGCAAACAATCGTCGTCGTCTTGTCGCAGCACTGCACCAATTTCATATTGGCTTGCATCCGTAGTGACTACGAATGTAAGCTTGGAATCTGCAATGCGGAGAACAGGGTAACTTACCAAGACCTCTTTCAAGGCTTGAAACGCGGTCTCATATGTTGCATTCCATAGATAAGATACATTCTTACTTGTTAATCGGGACAGCAGGCGAGGAACAATAGAGAATCGGGGCACAAACTCCCGATAATATGATGCAAGACCAAGGAAAGAACGCAATTCGTAAATGTTCGCCGGTTAAGGTCAATTGTGTATGACCTCAACCTTGGTTGCCTCTGGCTGAAGGCCTGCAGCAAGCAACCGATGCCTAAGATAGATGACGTTGTCCCTCCCAAACTCCGATTTTTCTAAGTTGAGATGGAGTTGCATTTTCTTGAGGATGGTAAACGCTTCCTCAAGGTGCTTCATATGTTCCTCGATGGACTTGCTAAAAATCATTATGTCATCGAGGTACACAACCACAAACCGACCAATTTGTTTGCGAAGGACTTCGTCCATAAGACTTTGGAAGGTGGCCGGTGCGTTCGTGAGACCAAAGGGCATTATGGTGAATTTGTAAAGCCCATCGCGTTGTGAAGAGACTGGGGCAAAGAACACTTGTCCTTTATCGAAGCCAAAACACTGTCCGTCACCACTGCGCCCTCTTCAGAGGTCCTCAATAGCGAGACAAGCAAATAGATTTGGTTCCTCTGTCACGCAATCAGTCCGAACCTGAAGTTTGACCTTGACGTCGGGAAAAGGTGAAATGTAAGAAAATGAAAGGAAATAAAGGTTTGCTCTTCTCCTCTCTGACTTGAGAAGTGCTCTAAGACCTGTCCTCTAGGGAGTCACAACCTACTGTGATTTTGGGAGAGTACGTTTGAAGTTTTATTTGCAAATATATAGGAGTAGTGAGTAGATATAAAGCATGGAGGAACTGTAACAGTTGGCACGATCTGAACTTGAACCGTATTTCGTAGAAGTCGAGCATCAAACAGGAAATGCATCGCGGGTGAATGGGAAGGCACAACTGATGATTTCAGCTTTAGATGTGCCTATTCACAACGCGGAGCATTCCTTTTCACTTTCCATATCTAGCATAACCTTCATTTCATACCACAACTGTTTAACTCAGTTTGATTGTTCCCTCTTTTTCCTTCATTAACGAAAACGAGAAGACCTCAAATGATAACAAAAAGAGATAAGTAGGGACAAAGGGAATCAAATAAACTTTTGTAACTGATCCAAGTCCGGACAGTAAGGAGCAGAATCATATATTACATAAACCAAGATGCCCACAGCGATATCAGACACTTTGTCATCATTGTTATAGAGGACACTCCCAATCCACCACGCCTAAGCTGCAAATGTAAAGTAAGGGAAGCAAATAGCCTAGGTAGAAAAAGAGGAACTCTAGGAAAAAAAAAGGAAAAGGAAATTAAAAAAAAAATACAAATGAAAATAAAACGGGACGGCCCTAGTCACCCTTGTAACAACAAGCACAACAGAGTTCCCATTTGGTCAACCACCAAAAGCGAG